TTCATTCCCCTCTGAGCGCTGCCGCCTTTAATTATGGGAGATACATTTCTTCCCTGGGAGTCATTCATGGGGGTTTTTTAGGTGGAAAGACGTTTTAGCGGAGTTATTTTTGAGCAAGGACCAGTGCCCTATATCCAGAGGCTTTGAGTGAAGTGCAGATTGAGACATATCGGGTTCCCTATAAAAGGATCATTTCTTGTGGGAGGTTGGACACTAAGTTTGGACTCGTGACTTGCATTCCTGAGAGACATGCATATTTTAAAACAACAAAGCAAGCTCAGAAGAAGGCTTGGGGGGGGGGGGGGAATAAAAGGAAAAAACTTAAAGAAGTTACTAAGTTACAAACATCTGTCAACATGGACCAATTTGTTTGGCTCTGAGGGGGAAAAACAAGTACCTGCTATTTTTTTGTATCACTTCAGGGAGTCTCAGCTACTTTGCTGGAAGATGACGCGGCTCTCCAGCCGCTCAGAAATGCAGTTTGGCTCAAAACTGTGAGCTTAAAGCGCTTTACTGGCCTGTGAATGTAAATGCCAACTCCTTCTTTATCGGCTCTTTGCGTGGCGATGGTTCAGCGTTTCAACGGATATCTCACGTCTCAGAAAGAACCCCGGGTGGGGAAAAGACGAAATGATAGCAAACGAGGGGACTCGTGTGTTTGTTGAAGAAGCCTCTGGCACACCAGATTCCGAAGTGCAGAAGGAGGAAAAGTGAGGAAACAAGGTGAAAAAGAACAGCCCTGATTTGCTCTGATCCCTGCGGGACGTAGGGATGGTGGGAGCCGCGGTGACCACCCCCGCTTCCATGTCCAAAGGACAAGGAAGGAATCTATATCTTTATCTATATCTATATCTATATCTATATCTATATCTATATCTATATCATCTATATCATCTATATCATCTATATCATCTATATCTATATCTATATCTATATTTATATCTATATTTATATCTATATTTATATCTATATCTATATCTATATCTATATCTATATCTATATCTATATCTATATCTATATCTATATCTATATCNATATCTATATCTATATCTATATCTATATCTATATCTATATCTATATCTATATCTATATCTATATCTATATCTATATCTATATCTATATCTATATCATCTATATCATCTATTTCATCTATATCATCTATTTCATCTATATCTATATATATACATATATAAATGTATACACACATACATAAAAATTGACTGGTGGGGAGGCGAGAGGGGTTGACCGCACAGGCAGGTGGGGTGGCAGCTTGTGGCCGGACAGCAGTGCAAGCAGCGCTGCACGCAGTGGTGTGGGCAGCGGAGGCGCGAGGGTCCGGGCTGCTGCCGGGAGTTTGCAGACAAAAGGAGAAGGCCTAATGGTGAGCTGGATATCTCTGTTAGTTGTCAGCGCTGGTGCACGGCTGCCGGAAAATGCTAATCAGCCCTCGCTGAGCGGGATGCAGCCTAGGCTGACTGCTGTCACACACACGCACATGCATTCGGGCTACTGCAGGGACTCTGACACGCACACACGCACATCTCACTCCTCGGTGGGGTCGACCGTGACCCCCACGCTTTGGGCTGTGCTTTGTTTGGTCATGCGGTGGTATCATCACCCTTAAACCTAAATACACAATAGCATAGCTCACAGCCACCAGCCTGCACCTTCTCTAAGGAGACTCTGCCCACCTGCCCTTCCCCCTTTCTTCCTTTTGTTTATTTTTTTTCTTTCTTTTTAACAACTGGGGATATTTTATACCTGTAGTTTTGGATTTGATCCATTGCTTTAAGTCTGATGGAGGGTTCTGCAGACGAGGAGGTRTCTATATACTATTATACAGCCATCACTGAGACTACCAACAGGGAATCTCTTGTCAGCCAGACAGTCCGGCTTTGAAACTCTACTCATATTATCCTGATTTTGCAAAACTGTGGCTAAGGAAAAGGATGAAATGTATAATTTCACGCTGTCCCTTTTACTAATTGTTGCCTTTCCCCACAATTACTTTTATAAGCTGATTGGGCCCGTTACTCGTAGTGTATTTGTATTTCTGGTGGAGGTCACGTGGATGCTGGAGAAGAGATCCTGACATCTCCCCTCCAGCTTTCTTCGGAATACCTCCAGCATCCTCCACTGCACACCAGTCTTTGCAACCTAGTGACCATAAAAACCGATCTAGCAAGACCAGCCAGGGTCCCAACCTTTCTATGGCTCTGGCAGTGTCAAGGCAGAGGTGTCTCTGATCCTTCTTCACAGACAGAAAGTGTAATTTTATTTTGCAGGTGGCCTCACCTTGCACTGGGACCGTTATGGAAAAATGTCCAGGAGGATGCCCTCACTTAAAAGGAAAGGGGAGATGAGTGACTCCAAAGCAGTGTCAGAGGTACCTTGGGAGAAAGGGGAGGGAGGCAAAAAAGGGCAGGATTTGTGAAGTGGGACCACCTTGGGAAATAATTGTCTTTCCTATCTTTGCAGTTTCAGACTTGATTCCCAGCTATTTTGCACTGAAGGTTCTCAGACAGAAGAAGGGATTGGTSCTGAAATGCTTAAGGGAGCATTTAAACCCAGAGCCTTCAATGAATGAAGAAGGAATGGGCGTGGAGGTGGAAAAAAAGTTTGAAAATGGATTCGCTGACAAGTAAGGATAATAAATGAGAGGCGCTTTCAGATAGATATCTCAGTCGTGAAATTGCACCCAGCTGGTTGTGTAAGCAAACAAATAGCTTCATGTTAGGGACTCTCGACTTGTGGCTTGATGAATAGAGTACGACAGAGGTAAATGGCTCTTTAACTCATTTAGGAATAAAACTCTTTGGCTTCCTAAGTAAGAGATCTTGTGACGCCATGGATCCCGAGCAAATACTTTAACAAGAGTTTTATTAATTTCCACTTCTGCTCCTGGATCTCCCTTCTCACTTACCTCCTCTCTCACACTTCTGTCCTTTTCCTTTTTTTTTTTTTTTTTTTTTTTTTTTTTTTTTTATTTCATCTTCAAAAGCGCCTCACAGGAGAAATTCTCCCACGTTATCAGCACCTTGAAAACCGGCAGATTTGCAAGGTACCCGGGCACATCAAGTCTGTCCATTCGAGAGCTGCGGCTTTGGAAATGTATTTGTTTGTTACTCTTACTGTGGGAACCACCGGCCAAACGCTCAGTCACTCTGACCCCCTGCAGATTAAAAAGTGAAGGGTGTCTAAAAAATAAAAATCTCGTGTCAAAGCCAGTGGCTGTGAAGCCAGTTAGAAAGGGAACCTTTTAAAACAAATATATAGACACAATTCGTTGAGATCAGGCAGTTACTGAAATTAGTCCCGAAGATATAAAACAAACGGGATCAAACGTGGGAAAGTGTGAGGGGACCAATTCCTGCCTCTGCCATCAAAGCAGAGAGCAGAGAAGACAAATACATGGGTCTTAAAAAAAAAAAAAAGAAAAAAAAAGGAAAAAAATAGGAAAAAGTAGAGAAAAACCCACTCGCTGTTTCAAGACTTATAAACTAACGCTTTGAATAGTCAAAATGTCCCATGAAACCGGAGGAAGCATGTCGACACTGTGTGTAATAGCCGTGCACTCGCATTCGCGGACACTCCCTGTGAATGGCTGAGCGCCGGGACACTGCTGGAGGGGACGGTTGCAGCAAACCCTGACATCCTTGTTCAACCCCTCTGTCCGTCTGTCGGAGAGTTCATCCATGCCAGCCAGTGCCACCGTCCCTGCCAACCCTACCTGCTCATCCCTCGGCAGCTGGTCGCGTTTGCTGTCTGTTGGGAAGGGGACACCTGGCTGCCACACCCCACAGGTAATGAGAAAAAAAACAAACCAAACAAAACTAAAAAATCAAACAAACACACCCCAACTCAAAAAAATGAAACAAAATGCCGACAAAACCGGGAGTCCTATTCAGTCCTTTCTGTCAGATAAGGACATCTCTCTCTTTTGTGCGGATGAGTAGCCTTCGAGTGAACCCACGCAGAATCCCCTTTCCTTGTATTACTTCTGCCGCCAGTTGCAGTGACCCCGAGTCAGATTTTTTCGTGTGAGACCCTCCATTTACCTCAGCAGGAAAAGTCTTCTGCATCTTGATCCGTCGATTTTATTGGTGGCGATGAAACAGGTCACTGGCGATGGAGCCCCATCCCCGTGCTCCCTCCCCAGCTGAGGCTTATTTCGAGGGATACGGGGAATGTCGGGGTGATCCTTTACCCCCATCCCTAGAACGGGCTCATCGCCCTCCTCCTGTAGATGAAGGGGGTGGATGGAAGCCGAGCCACCCAAAAGGTGCCCCCCGGGGACGAGGGCGTGTCGAGAAACCCCGGGAAAGGGGAAGCCACGACCCCTGACGTTCACGGACAGCCGGAGGAGGTGCGCACACACAAATGACCCCCGCCTCGACGCCACCCCTGCCACCGCCGGCAAACCCCCCTTCTCCTCAGCTAGGGCTCAACCTACCACTTAGCAGCATTTCCAAATATTTATTCGATTAAATGTATAGAAAAGGCCTAATTGGGTGGTGGGAGGAGGCAAGCTAGTTAGCGAGGTGCTAAGAGAAGTGGGAAGGGGGCTTTGTATCTGCCTTGCCCTGAGCACGTCCCCTGCGCGGGGTTGGGGTGGGAGGGTCGCCCCTCTCCCAAATCCCACCGACCCCCCTGCTTCCTCTCCTCCAACCCCCACCCCAGGCTTTGAAGTGCTGCCGCAGCTGCTGGTGAGCTCCGAGAGGCCGCGGAGCCCTGCGCGGCAGGATGCAGGGATGCAGGGGAACTCCCTACCGACCCCGCCTCCTGAGGAGCTTGGGGGACCGAGGAGCCTTCGGGGACAGAGCCCGGGCTCCCCCCGCAACAAGGCAGAAGAAATGTAGATGCGTTGGTTTTAAAACAGTATATTGTAGGTCACGAATAAGTCAGCAGAAACTTGCTGAGGGACTCCAGCCCCTCTCCACATTCACATATTAATTTTTTTTTTTTTTTTTTTTTCGGCAAATAGCACTCGATGACGCGATGATACAGTATTTTTAGCTGCCATATGAATGCCCGAGAGGCTGCAGCGTGGTAAAGGAAAACATCCACTGACACAGCGCAGACTGGGTAGTTAACGCTCCAGAACACGATGCCGTCTTATAAGCAAAGTTTAATAAGGGATTGAAACACTTCTTTCTAGGCACATACATGGAAATAAGTGCATCTTGTACACCTCCTCTACACCTGCAAGTTTCTTGACAATCCGTGGGTTATTATTATTCATAAATATGAAAATTAATTGAAAAATACCTATGAAAAAATTGTTTTCATCATGGGATAACACTGTCATGAATTTATTTACATCTCAATGGAAGAAACTGAGACCTCTTTTTCTCTTCTGATATCCCCATTTGTTTTGTTTATTTTTGTGGGGTTTTTTTGGTTTTTGTTTTGTTGGTTTGTTTTTGTTGTTATTTTTGTTTTAGGGAGGGTTTGTTTGTTTTGGTGGGTTTGGGGTTTTTGYTTTTGTATTGGGGTTTTTTGATGGTGGTGGGGTTGTATGTATTTTTGTTTGTTTTTAAATGGTACATCATCTGGGTCCCCAGTCACCCATCCCACCAAAAAACAGAGCTGGAAAAGCTGCTTTCAGCACCTCCCATGTCTGAGCATTCCCACTAGCTCCCTGTTGAGAGTCTGGAGGGGCTGCTGGACCCCCTCTACCCAGAGAAGGCGCCAGGGAAAGGACAGGAACAAAGCTCTCACTCATGCAGCGTCCAAGTGAGTGACAAAAGAGAGGATATGTCTGTCTATCTAATTCCTGAATTCCTGTTCTTGTGTGCTCAGGTCTGGAATTATTCAAGTCCCCCCACTCCTAGCACCTATGAATACAGGATGTTTCTCCATCCTGAATGGGTGATACCTCCATTGAGGATCTGTCTGCAATGTTGATTATCCAGCTTTAACTGTCTACTGTATAGAGTTGCTCTCACCTCAGATCTGCTGCGCCTAGAATTTTAAAAACCCCAAGCGAGTTGGATTGAAGAGTCTTGTTAAAGAAAGAAAAAAAGGGGGGAAAAGAAGAAAAAAATGAAAAAAAAATGATGGGAGAGATTGAGAGAGGGAGAGAGATGAGAGTATGGAGGAAGGCAAATTAAAAGGAAAACACTGCCCATGTCTTCACAAACTGAAAATCTACCTCCTCCAGGCTTGTTTGGAGGGCATAGGAGGTGTCTGTGTGAGGGGGACAATGTTATTTTTAAAGATCCAGCTTTATTAATACATTAAGAAAGAGCTCCCTTGGTAGTATGTGTTCTTACAGCTCCGTCTCAGATCCTATAAAACATTCATGCACTGAAAGCTGTTACAGAGATCTGCACCACCAGCTAGAAGCCTTTACCTTCAAAGGAGCTCTATTACAAAAACGGTTTTTAATTTTCTTGGAAAAAAGGATAAGCTGAAAYGAAGAGGGGCTTTTGGCACAGAGCTCAGGCCCCTGTGGTGGGTGGGCCGTGGTGTGAGATGTCACAGCCTGTGCGTTTTGCATGGCCATGGCACATAAGCATACATGAAATGCATTGGCTCACCACCCAATGAGCAAGCATCCAGTTGGATTTCTATATTAATGGGGTGGGAATACCCTCCACACACAGCAAGTAGAGTTGGAAAAAAAAAAAAAGAGAGGTCTTTTCTGGCTGACAGTAAGCACGAGACATGCACACTGGAGCACATATTGGGGTSTGCGAGCCCTTGGTGAGGAAAACAAGATAAAACCAAAAAACCCTCAACCCCACCCCAGGTCCCCAGAAGCCAAAAGCCACCATGCCTGGAATAAACAGGACCCATGGCTAGAGTATGCCTCCTGCTGCACGGGTAGAGATGATGACATATGGTGACTTCAATCCRTGCCCACGGCGTCTGAGAGCAAAAAGCAAGGTGTGAACTCAGCAGAAAATCCAGGTGATGAGAAAAGGTATTTCAAAAAGGCATAGGCCAACCTGATGGGCCTGTCAGCCTTGGTAGAGAGTCTGTCGTGCAGTTCCAGAGAGGCAAGGTCACCTAAGGCATTGCACTGCGACTCCTGATCCCTCTTTCTAGGCCTTGACAGCTCAGCCTGAAGCTTACAGGGTCAAGTCCATTTTGGAGCATCATGTAGTTTACACAACTTGGATACCCCTCACAAGTATTTTTTAAGTTCTCCTTTTTAGCACCAGTAAAGGAGTTAAAAATGCAGGGAGATTTTTGTTGTTATTGTTTATGAGTTTTTATTTTCTATTTTTTCTTTTTTTTTAAATTTGTTTTTGTGAATTGTTGGCATGTTTCAAGCAACAAGACTCAKGGGTCGTGAGGTGATAAGTTGGGGTTTTTTTTTTGCTAAATTCTTTTATTTTTTTTTTTAAATTCTCACTTCAATTTTAATTCTTGAAGAACAGCTTTGACAACATATATCGCACTCATTATAAGAAGCAAAGGGTTATATCAAAAATTATTAGTATAGAATCACAGGAAATCTGGTTTGGAACCAGAAAAAAATACAAAACAGATATAGATACATAGACACAGGACAATTCTTTTATAATTATTTGGAAAATGTTATTTTCCCCTAATTCTCCTTTTTTTTTTTTCCTTTATGCGCACATGATGTTTTAACTTTTTACCAAAAATGAAAATAAAGACTAATATATTACAAAATGAGTAACAATGCTCATGGTAAGTGTTTGCGCATGGAATTTTTCATTGTTGTCATTTGCTTGGTTTCGAGTTTTTTTTTTTAGTTCTACACGAGGTTCAGTTCAGTTTCAATACTTTTTTGTTTGTTGGTTTACTGTACAGCATATATCAACAACAGTCCACAATAAATCCTGGAAGATCCAGTATCCCCTTCAGGTTTGATTAATATCCCCTCAATACTCATTTTTTGTTGTTTTTTTTTTTTTTGTCTCTTTTATTAATATTATTTATTTCTTTTTTCCTCCTCTCCAAAAGAAAAAAAAAATCGGCAAATAAGACAAAAAAAAGGAAAAAAAGAAAAAAGAAGAGCGTAACACCACAACCTTCACGGACGATAGGTCCGTCCTTCTCCCCTCCACGGCCACATCCTGCTCCCACTCGGCCCTTTCTTTTGTTCAGTGTCCACCTCCCGGGCCCCCCCCGCACCCCGACTGCCCCTCGGTGCGAGCGTTCCCCTCTCCTTCGCTCCGCCGCCTCTCTGCCGGGGGTGCGGGATGGGCTCTAGGAGCACTGGATGGACATGTAAGGCCAGTTGAAGCTGCTCCCCGACAGTAGCATATCCCTGATGAGGGTTTCGATGGGGGTTTTACCTACCAAGCGGACGAAGAAGAGTTGCTCGATGACGGAGGAGGAGACGGTGCGCAGGGAGGGCAGCCGTAGCAGCAGCTTCCCGAAGCGGCTGGGCTGGTTGGGATACTGGCTCCGCACGTACTCCTCTAGCGCGCACTGCGACTTCTCCTGGAGGCTCTCGATGTGCGCAGCATCCGACAGGCCGCAGGCGTCTGCCCGCCGCACCGCGCCCGCGGAAGCAGCCGCAGAACGGCGGCAGGCGGGGGGAGAGTGGAGGGAGGAGGAGGAGGAGGAGGAGGAGGAGGAAGCGGGGGGTAGATGGTTAGTGGCAGGGAACCACACGGGGAAACGCAGCGAGGATGGGGGGCAGCCCAAAGGCGCAGACCCCTGTCCCATCCCATCCCATCACATCCCATCCCACCCCATCCCATCCCATCACATCCCATCCCATCCCATGTCATCCTATCCCATCCCATCCCTTCCCACCCCATCCCATCCCGTCCCATTACATCCCATCCCATCCCATCCCACCCTATCCCGTTCTGCGCACCACCGCCAAATAAATAACGCAGCTTCTCTGTGTCTCGTCATCACTGTGGGTATTTTCACGCAGGATGCGGTGGGGTGCCAACACCCCGCTCGTCCCAATCACACACACACACACAACCCCCCCACACTTCCTTTCCACATCSCCCCCACCGACTCTCCGCGCTGTCGAGCGTGGTTTCTGCTCCAGGGAGCCCATCACTGGGATGCTGGAAACCTGGACCAGCCCCCTTAAATAATGCGGAAAGGAGGGAAAATTGGGGTATTGGGGGAAATAATAATAGTAGTAATAATAATAATAATAATAATAATAATAATAATAATAATAATAATAATAATAATAGTATGGTAAGCTGAGTCCCGCACAAACAGAGTGAGACAACACAAGGAGTTTGTTGACATGGCTGCACATCACAGAGAGGCAGCGACTGGGACCTGCAGCAACTGGCAGGGAGCCGGCCGGGGGATGCCGAGGGGCAAGGGAGTCTCCTCTGCTCCTGCCTTGCTGCCAGCAATCGCAAATTGGCCACGTCTTTGCGAGCTGTGTGATAAATCCAGTGGAAAACGGCCGGGTTAGTTTTAGCTTGCGCTCAGCAGGCGTCTGTAGCTCTCAGACACAAAGCTGGGGGAGAGCTGCAGAGGTAAAGCCTTGCCTGAATGAAACCAGAGAGACTCCTTCCTTACAGATCCCTCTGGCACTCCAACGGCCAAAAACATACCCCTTGCACCTCGCATAACTACATGACCTGGGCAAAAGTGTACTAATCCGAGAGCAGAAACCCTTCCCGTACACGTATTTGTATCTATACCCGTTATTCTGTGTGTATAGATAATAGCAGAGAGGTATAGATGCATCTGTGCATTTGCACACACAGACAGACACATATAAGCACATAGCCTATCTCTGAAAACTCGTAGTCCAAACCAGAGGATAATAGTGCACCAGCTGCATGTTGAGGCACTTGCTCAGGAAACTACAGTCATGGAAAAGTGGTGGGTATGCCCAGATGGTTGAAACCATCTACATTGTTTTGAAGATTAATAATAGATACCAAAAAACCTAAAGCAAAACAACAACAACAACAACAAAAGCAAAGCCCAAACCAAACAAACAAAAACCTCAAAACAAAAAAATAA